AATTATTTCCATTAGTCAGTGAATTACTAACTAGAGGGCATAGATTTAAGTTAATTGTTAAAAGAGCAAAAAAAGAGATTAGGAGAATTTGTTATACACAGAGGATTGAGAGAAGGTGGCAGCCCTACCTGGAACAGCGGTAATGACTGAATACGTATTAGCTTTTAAGAGGGAATTAGATAAATATCTGCAAAAGGGGAATTAAAAAAAGTGTATGGGGAAAAGACAGGAGAATGTGACTAAAAGCATAGTTCTTTCAAAAAGCTGGAACAGGCATGAAGGGCCAAATGGCCTCCTGTGCGTTAATTTCTATTGGTGAGGACAGAAATAGACTCAGTTACAAAACTTTCTGCCACTTTCCCCACCGCCCCCCACTCCCACCCAGTGAGTTGACACACACTGATTCGTTTTATACATGAAGGATTTTAAATATTATATAATATATACAGTAAAAGTCTGATTTGTATAAATTGTATAATTGCCAAAGTCATACATCTGCCCAAGTCCCGTTGAATTTCCTGTAACTTATACAAGTTTCACATAACTCATACTTTGCATAAGTCATATTAAATGCATGGCCCCAACTGATATGACTTGTGTGAGGTTTACTGTAATTTGTTTGTTTATTTGCTTGCCCCAATAACAAGAGAAGAGACTATCTGAGCACCAGTTATGCACAAAGGTATTGTTTTGTTCTTAGCCATGGCAGTGTTGATACTATACCCAACCCTGAAATCTAAGCTTTGCGACAACTCAGTGTTCATTTCCAGATACTTAGACATGGAATTCTTGCAGGAAATTGCCTGATCTTACTTTGTGCTTTTTTGTGCTTTTGTGCTGTTTTGCAACGAGTGATATTGTGGTCTCAGGTTCAGGCCCTATCTTGAGGCTTCATTGCATTGCACGAACAAGCGCAAATAATACCTCAGTGGGTGGTGTGTGTGGCACGTGTCTATGTTACTGTTAATAATGAGAACCTCAGTTCTTTCCCCAGCCCCTGCAGCTCCAACTTCCAGCTAGGATATCCAGCAGTCAAGCGCTTTAAGACGTCTTCTTGATGTGAAGTTGTTACGTAAATGTAAATTAAATTGTATTGTAAATTGTATTGTGTTGCACGCTGGATAGGTAGTCCAACCACTGAAAATTGGTTCTTAAGTTTACACGTTGTGTGAGTGTGTGTGGTGGTTGGGGGAGGTGAAGGGGGGTGGCGGGTGCATATGGGCTGCACTGTGGTAGAGGGTCAGGTCAATTAGGGTAGATTTCAAAAAATTCCCACCGCCGTATGGCCAAGATGATAGGAAACAGAAAACCCTACACTGACGATATCATTCAATATGTGGAGGGCAACTGGAGAGAGAAAAACATCTTGTAAAAGGTCACCCAGCTGATGAGGGAGATTACAGGTTTGATTGTTGGCTATTCAAGCCAGGTTTTATTGGGGCGCTGTTTGTTTATTACTTGACGTGACCCGATTGATGTGGAGCTGTCCTCTATTGTGCCATGGCTGCTGCTTTGAATTGCAAATGCAATGCTGTTCCTAGCATGGGCTGCAGGCGCGCTCTGTCTCTCCGAGCCTCATGCAAGCCTGAGCCCATTTTCTTACTCTGCATTCTCGCCGTGGAAGTTTGGATGTGCTGAATCTGCACCAGGCTGCAAATGTGCCCTCAGTTACAAACATAAAATGAGAGTCTGTTTGCCATTAATCACCTCAGCTAATTGCTATGCGTTACCATTACCCATATGGTGTGATGGCAGCCTGTCTCAGTAGCAAGAACATGCGTAGTTACAGACAAGATATATTTTGAATTTTTATTTTAATTCTTTTAACTAAATTGCCACCAGTGCTTAATATATTAAAATAGGATTATTGTATTAATTAATAATAACACAAGAGTCAGATACTTTGAATAAGGTTGCACTGATAATCCTGAAATGATGATAAAACAACAGTGCTAAATGTACTAAAATAATATCTTATTTTGATGCCCAGAATTACTGTATTAAGAAACCATATTTGTCTCTTCACGTCTGTTTCCTAAGTGCCCAACTAGATCGAATTAGATTATGTGTTTTGTTTGACTCACAAATAGGTAGAAAAGTTTAATTAAGGGTAATCAGAATAAAAAAAACATGAGATTTAAATTGGAAAGTAACAACGTGTTGTTTTCTGCGTCACCGAGAATGGATAGGACCCAGGCAAAGAATACCTACCACCTGCTTTAAAAATAAAACAATAGCAAAATAGATGCAGTGGTGGCACAAGTTAGCTGTGCAGAATCGCATTCTTAAATAAAAATCATTAGACACAAATGCAGGGAGCAGCTGATGACCTCATCGATTTGATCAGTGCTCATTGACAAGATCGATTGTAATCTGATTGAAGGAGAGACCCCAGACAGTATTCCCTGCAGCAGTCCAGGGTCCCACACGTCATGAATCTTACAGAGCACAGTGTGTCCTGGTGCACGGCAGCTTTGCCTCCATTAAAAAAAGAACAGGCATTTTGGGAAAATAATAATAATAATCCTTGCAGTTGATACAGCACCTTATCACGTCTTCGAAATGTCTCAAAGTGCTTCACAGAATATACTGTAAAGTGAATTGACTCTATATTTTGTGGGCAAATCAAAATGTCAACAAAGGCAGGATTGGGCTTTAACTACCAACAATACAGCTGTGAAACCCTCCCAAAAATCCCTACAGGACATCATCAGTTTATTAAAAGAACTTAAAAAAATATATTAAAAAGAAAAAAACCCTGTGAATGCTGAAATCCCAAATCAGAAACTGTGCTGTTGGAAACGAACAGTAGGTCAGTCAGCATCTGAAAAGCGACAGAGGGAAAGAGAGAAAAAGAGAGAACAGGTTAATGTTTAGGGTGAGATGCTTCATCAGAACTCTTTCCGAGGGCTGAGGAGGACCTGCTTAGGCAAATCTAGCAAAATGTGATATTAAGAAGTTGAAAAAAAAATGACATTTTGAAGAGGCAATTGATGGACTAATGACAGATTGTGAAAAATGGCTACATAGTTTAGAGGAAAAAATAATGTGAGGAAGAAAGCATTAGAAGCTGAAGTATTCCACTGTAGGTCAGGAAATAGTGGAGATGAAAAATGCAGATCAGGGGACCGACCGAGTGGGCAAAAAGAGGGACAACCAAGCCTTGAAAATTGTCGTCACTCTTCAGGCCGTGAGATGAAGGCCTGATGTTTGCAATGGGCTTGGCTGAGGCAGTGTAGGAGGCCAAGGTTGAAGTAATTGGAGTGGGAGTGGGAGGGTCAAGTCTCTGGCGGATCAGGTCAAGCTCAGGTTTTACGGATAGAAGAGATGTTCAATTCTATGCACTTTTGTTATTTGCTTTGTATTTTTGACTGTCAGTCCTCTGAGGGTTAAGTGACCTACCTGTTTGTGCATGAATTGCATTGGTATAGAATACCATTCAGTGCTGTAACATGGGTATTGGGATTTACATTCAGAAGTTCCTGAAGTATTGAATAGCAATTACTCAGATTTGCCAGAGGGGGTGCACCTCCCTCCCACCCTCTCACAGCGACGAAACTGGGCTGCGCGTTCAACATCTGATTCGCGGCTTTTGTCAGCCAGTTAAAGGGATTGTGACTTTTGAGTATTTTGTTGCGCAAAAGAAAAGATGATTCCTGCCCACGTGAGTCGATCTGCAAGTCAAGAGTCAAACATGCATTTCTTGGCTTCTCAGATATCGACATTGAGAACGGCTTCGTGGTGGGGGGGGGAGGCGCTACCTCCTGCTCATCCGGGTAATTCATATCCGTCGTTGAAGGAATTTCTAAATTTAGATTGCAAATTAGACTATTATTATAATAATCCTTGCATTTGATATAGTACCTTGTCATGTCACTAAGATATCTTAAGGCACTTCACAGAATTTTACTGCGAAGAATAGTGACATTGTATTGTAGATAAATGCAGCAGCCTATTTGGGCTCAACGACGTCCCACGAACAGCCACTGGTGCTATTTAGAGGTCAATATTTTCATTTACTGCATATTGCATTTACCAAAATGCGTAAATAATAATTGTTTTGTAACAATTAACTTGTAATTGTTTTAACAGAAGTTGAACTTCCTGTTCTATTAGCAGAGCAGAACGGCAGCGTACTGTGACTGCAACCATAGTAGTCCTGGGTGCATATTTCAGAATACAACTATTTACAAACTGGCCTGTAAACCATATTAGGTGTGACATTTCAAGGCAAAAGTGTTGCTGATTTTTCTGTTAAAGAGATCAAATTTGTTAAAGGCTTCATGCCATTGCTTTTTGAATTGGGAAAATAAGGCAATGAGACAACGTGCAGGACACCATCAGTGCGGAAAGTGAAGACAACATAGTTTTCGTTTGTTTTTCAAAACTTGTAATTGGAAAGAGATAGGAGACTGAAAGGGAGAAAGAGTTCCCGGTTTCCAGATAACAAGAAAACAGGAATAGCTTCAGTTGTATTTTATATAACTTAAAAATATTTTAGCTCTGTATATATCAACTATTTAACAGTCCTAGCTAGAACTTGAGATAAGCCTCGAACAGCGTTTGGTATTCCTTGTCTTAAATGCCCAATTTTAGCCCGAGTGCCTACTTGAAGCTTAATAACATTCACCATCTGTGCTGGTTGTAAGGTGAGAACAGGAGACCCATCCATTGTTTGAGGCAGGCTTGTTACCTGTCTCAGGTGAGCGCTGCTTCACCGCTCACCTTTACAAAGGTACCTTTTGCCTCTAATTATCACCAGCTGTCCCTGGGAAATGAGAAGTGGTATTTTACCCGATGCAAGGACTGGCACCTACTAATTCTTACCTGTTGTAGGTGAGGCAGCGGTTATTTAACCATATGTGCTGTTAATCTGTGCCTGCTCTGCTGCTCTCATTGTTTAGTACAGGTAGCAGGTATCAGTAATTTAACCCAAAAGTATTGATTGTTCTGTACTAATTTCTACTTTTATTTCTTCACTCCCCTCGTCACATCGACAGTCGTTGCTGTGATAAAAAGAGTTGTGGTAACAGGAACGAGACGCCATCAGACCCGGTGATAATTGACAGGTATGGACAATTATTTCCTCTTTCATTATGATACACCTGCCCTGTGCAGAAGGCAGGGTGGATATTGGGCATTGTATTTCTCTCTTTTGTTTTGTCGGTTGTGTCGTAATTGTCCCATTCAGACTCGAGCGGCTCCAATCTTCATGGAGGCTCATCTCTCAGAGGCCTGGGCTCTGTTGATTTCTTGTAATTTGGCATCTGTTTTTGCTGGCTTCCTATTGACTCTCCTGTATCTTTGTGCATGCCACAGCAGATGTTGTGTTTACTGAGAGGAGAGAAACCTTGTGCTGCTCGTGGTTCAAATTCGCTGTTGTGATCAGTGAGATATTACAAAGGTGATAAGCGAATTGTACCTGAGAAATTTGTAAGCGGATTACCTGATTTCCTCTTCTCCTGCTATATTGTATTTTCTGTAGATTGACACTGCAGTTAGGTGGGAGCATTACACAATTACAAACCCACAGCTCTCACACACTGGAAGGTTAACCTTGAAGACTTAAGTAGCACTTTCGGATTACATCATTAAAATAAGATTGAGCAATAGAATTGCTTGTTTTTCTTCACTGGTTGCTGTAAGAAGAGATGCTTCCCTTGTGTTTACTCTGTCGATTTATTACAAGCATTGAGCTGTGTTACAGAGGGACGGCCAGAGCTGAGGGTTTCACTTGAGTGAACTATTATTGAAAGTGTCAGTTTGTGCTCTGTGCGTGTGCAGTTTGACATGTTAATGGCTGTTGGTGCTGCACCACTGCCAATCGAAGGAAGATTTCTTGCACTGATTTTCATGTTTTAGAGAATTTTTTTAAAAGAAAAAGGTTGTTATATGGCACAATGCCACAATGCCTTGGAGCTGTAAGATAGGACGTCACCTTACTTTTATGCCAAATTACTTTTCTCCCCTGGGACTGACTCTCTTAAATGCACCGACTGGTGATGGGTTCTATTCCAAGGCGATTACTAGCCCTCTATCGCCTCAGCCGAGTGGCTATTCTTTATGTGCGAGTCAAGAGGTGCGAGTCTACCAGGCTTTCCTACCGAGGAGGAGGCATCACATCCGAGTTGGGCCCTCTCCTCACACTTGATGTCCAGACACTTACTTTACAGCAGGGGTCTCTGGATAACCATTAAGTTGTAAATGTAGGCATGTGTTTCTCCTCCCAAGTCTAGAGCCACAGCAATACATCAACTGCAGTCCCAGCTTCTATCAGTTTATTCAGGAAAGAACTGGGATCAATCCTGCAGGTCCTTGTACTAAACAAGGAAGAGCAGCTGAAAAAAATTGGAGATGGCTGGATATTGGTCTTACTTGAGAATCATATATCATGAGTCTTACTTCCCAGCCATTGCTACTGACAGCGGCAATGTGATAGTGTTGCCGTGCATGCATTCAGACATCTCTACGCACAACGCATTCTGGAATGCATTTAGCAAAATCTGTATCCACTGCAGGGCCTGCAAGTGCTCTGGCTCATACCCACATTACAAAAAGCTCAGCTAAACGTGGCACAGATATAATGTTTTACGTACCTTTGGGATTATGATTTCAGTTGACATAATGCAATAATGTTGGCAGCGAAACCTCCAGGAGCCAACACAGAGAAGTTTAGTAGAAACAATGTGAAATCTGACTCAGCTAATCCAGATCGTTTCTGCTCCTGAAAGTACAAGTTTCAGTGTAATGTGGCTTCAAATCACTGCAGTTGAGATATAATACAAGCAGAGAAAGTAGGCCTCTTCAGAATTTAGAAACTTAGAAATGACAATAATCATTTTGTGTGATGAAGATCCTCCGGCCCATCCGATCTCTTCTCCCCAAAACTCTCACCACAAAATCTAGCGGAGGATGGAGCTAGGAGCGGAGTTGGAGATTCAGATGGGAACAGGGGTCAGGAAGTTTGTGTCACGGACATGGTAAAATGTGGTATTGCACAGTGTGGCACTGAGTATTCGTGATGCAAAGCTCTGCACTCCCTTCACCTGCCATGGGGCGAGCGATACAACTCGATGGATGAATCTCTGCCTAAAACTGCCGCGCTTTATTTGAATGCAATTCTCCTAAAGTGGGTGTGGGGATGTTGTTTCGCTGATGAGAATGGGCTTTAATTTGGTTAATAAATAGTGAATCCTGCAGATACTCGGATGTGTCTGTTTGGATATCCGCTCAGAAGCTGATCTTAGTTTTGTGTTCCAGATTGTAGTCTTGTCGTTCAGCACAACATCAATACCTGAACAGAGCTCCTGATTGGTAAATCTCGCATATTGAACCCCCCCACCAAGGCAATTGGTGTGCAACACACTCGATGCACAGTTAATCTATGAAACTTGGATAAATGTCTCCATGTGTTAAATGAATAAATAGGTTGAGTTATCAATTACCTGAGTGGATGGAGTTTGACTGTTGTCACGGTTGGACACCACTGGGGGTCTGGACTATGTCTGGCTAGTTTGACACTAACGCTGCAGACATAGTTTGTCAGCAGGAAGGATGCTAAGCTGCTGTGAGAGTCTTCACAGTGTCAGGGACTGAGTTTGATCTGTCTGGGGGTTACGAGGGTTAATTAATTTATTACATCAAATTAGCAGAAAGATTGGATCAGTTGAAGTCTGATTTCCACTCGGCTTTATTAAAAAAGCTACACATATACATACAACCACGCACACACATATATATACACATACACACAAAGACACAGACACACACATATATAGTGTGCGTGTATATATATGTGTGTGTGTATATATATGATATACACATGTACATCATGAATGATTTTTTACCTCTTGGTAAATTTATTGACCCTCTGGCATGTGGGTATATGATAGGATTGTTGTATATCGCTAAAATCGAGAAGTTTACCAGCAAGTGTAAAATCTCCTAATGTGCATAGAAAGTCTGAAAATACATTGCCTAACCAATGCCAGAATTTCACTGTTAATTCGAGTTTAACCCTTTGACTTGATCAAGTTCCAAGCAGTTACATTCCTCAGGTTGTTATTCACAGTTGTATGTGGGTGAGGATGGGGGAAAGAATCACTGCAGAGAAGAGGAATTGTGCACCTTCCAATCCAGTGACTCCTGTTGGAAAAAATCCTCATTGATGGAAAAATTAGGCAAGACCACAATCCTCTACCTATGACTAGGAAAAAGAATTTGCAGTTTTATAGTGCCTCATCATATTGCAACACCTCAACATACTGCACAAGTAATTACTATAAATTGTAGTGATAATTTTTGTACGTGAATGTGGCAACCATTTTGTAGACTACAAGGTCCCACAAATGGAATGATCAATTTATCGGGACGATTATCGTCCAGAATATAGGATTACAAATGCAAAGATTATTAATTATTATTATTACAGGGGCAAATTTCCTTCTTTTTCAAATAGTGCCATTGAATCTTTAATGTCTACTGAAGAAACAGGCAGACCAAACTTCTGTTTAACATCTCATTTTAAGGATAGCACTTTTGACAATGCAGTGCTCCCTCAGTACTGCACTGGAGTCCCAATGAGGGGCTTGAATTCACAGCCTCCTGACCCAGTGGCAAAAGTGCTACGGACTGAGCAAGCTGAGGCCCCTGTCAATGCTTCATGTCTAGACTGACACATGACAGTGAATCTGTACCCGAGCATGAGTACGTACCTTCAGGATCAGATGGGAGAAAATTAGAGAAAAGGGGGAGAATAAAGCTTGCTGGCCTCTTATGCTTTGTGCATCAATGGTCCTATTAGCATCTGATGGAGGTGATGTGGGGATGGATACAATTAATACAAATTGGCCACTTTAGAGAGAAAGGATCACTTATAAAAATTACATGGTGACATTCAAACAGGATTTTTACATGCGCTGCATGGAGCACTTCCAAAGACAGGATCATTTTAATAATGTATTCCAGTAGGATTGGACTTCTGACAAGTTATGAATGAACTTCAATACAGAGAGAGACCCAGATTTTAGCTGTCTGCTTTTAGAATCCTATTCAGTGATTGACACAGGGGAGGCTAGAGACTGGTTTGACAGCAGTGATGAATGTGCTCTGTGTATTTGGAACGGGGTTGGGTTACCTGTTTTGTATTAAGTGGAACTCCCATTGCTCCTGATGGGTTCTTGCCCCAGCAGGATAATTAAACTCTTCCCAGGTCTCGGCTAGCCCTGCCAATTTAGGTAGAACTACAGCAGAGGAACACTGAGACTTGGCTCACTGTTTGCTTAGCCAGAAATGTGTAAGAGCTGCCAGGATGCTGACCCTGATGCATTGGTCGTCTAACCGCTGCCAGGAGTTGCTGATTCGGTCTGCCAAGGTTCCAAAGTGTGGCGCTGTGGCTGAAAACAGACTTTTGGTGGGTTTTCTGGTTTTAAAAAGAACATTGTTAGGATCAACCATTTTTTTTTTTTGCAATCACACTTGCATTTTGTATTTGGAAGAGAACTTTAAATTGTTTCAAAAAAAAATGTTTATTTTTCAAACCGGATTTAAAAGTTTTTTTTTCCCTTTTCATTTCCCAAAGGCGCTGATTCTTTCCTGGGTTTTACCAGACCTGCCTCTCTCCTCTTTCCCCCTCCCTCCTCACTACAACTCGTCTCCAAGTGATCTTTCTTCCTGTGTGAGCCCATGCAGGATTATTGACCCTTAAGGAATCTCACTTGAAGTTAGCTGGTCCTGTCCTTATTTGACGTCGACACACACCTCCAGCAGGGGTCACTGGATATTAAAAAGAAGCAGGAAGTCTGCCTGATATTTCCCTTAACTAACCTTCAGGCTTATATTATAGCTGCATATGTATTTTAATAACGTTTCTCCAATGTACCAGCCAGCAGGCAGAGATTTCTAACTGCTCCGCTGTAAGTTTTTCCACTATCCACACCGACCCTCTTTCTCTGAGGGATTTAGTGTCGAATTAAGGACATTTACCCTTAAATCTCAGTTCTTTGACTTTTCTCAATGAGATTACTTGTTTACTTGTTGTGAACCAATACCTTCTAGGAGTTGGGCTGAG